ACTGTTTGCTATATATGTGATTATATTGATACACATAGTTTAGAAATAGGGTTGCCGACAATCCACTTTTATTGAGAAGCAAGTGGAATGTTCAGTTCATCTTCGATAGTGAGATTTTTAGACAGAGAGATGGCACTGCGATGGGATCACCACTGAGTTCTTTGTTTGCTGGCTGATTTTTTAATGGCAAGGCTTGAAAACTCTCAACTTAGTTAAACCATCGGTCATCTCGACATTTAGAGAAGATACGTAGACGACACTTTCGTTATATCTGTGATAATAACGTAATTATTGATGATGTCTTGTTTGCTTTCAACAACTGCCATCATTCTTTACAATTCATCATAGAAAAGGAATCTTGATGTGTGCCTTAGTAGTAGACGTAATGACGGGTCTTTCTCCACTGGAAACGTACGTGGAACGGAAAACTAACTAATTTTAATAGTTGGGTGCCACCTATCTCCAGGAAAAGGAACCTAATTTAATTCGCTCCGCTTTAGGATAAGGCAAATTTATAGTTCTGATTACATTGACTCAGAACTTGACTTCTTAAAAGCTACGCTGGCAGAAAATGGTTGCCACCCCAACCGATTTATTGACAACAACATGAAAGATAAGCAGTCGAAACTGGTCACCGACTCAGTTTCAAAGAAAACCTTATTCATGAACTTGGAATTCAAAGGTGATCAAGCTTAAGATATGCTCATTAATCAAATTTATTCAAATTTGAATTGAATAATAAATTAGGGTTTCCTGGGTATTTTAGCGAATAGGATGGGTCGAAGGAACAGTTATGCAATGAAAATTCCCCAGGGAGACATGAAGTAGACAATATCCAGTAAAAACATTCCCTAATAAAATGCCTAGTATCAAGGGCGCGAAAAATTTTCACAAACGATACATTAGTGGATGAGTTACATTCGGCTTTGTCGGTGAATGTATTTCCTGAGAACATCATTGTATTTCACAGTAAAGATAGACTGTCCCTTGAAAAGACAACTTCCGTACCTAAGAAAATGATCTTTTCAAGTATTGATTTTGTGAAGATTTTGTTTGATTGCATGGAGGATTTCATCATGAGCTGACATCAGTTAGAGAACCACTGGAAAACCAACCTGGGAGTACTGGACAGCGAAATGGTCGCGCTATATCGTGAATTGACAGAAGGCTGAATTCATGGACTGACTAATCATTGGAACGGGTCCCAGTGGCTGCTCAACGGTCTACAAGCTAGCTCGCTAGTCTTGTAACTTGAAGGCCCTGGGTTCAAACCCTGGCGGTGGGTGTGTACTGCTGAATAGCCAGTCCCAAACTAGGACGAAACAGCTTTCCAAAACTATCTTTATCAAATTGCCAAGTAAATGATATTTCAGAGGTTCCAGTCAGCTATCTAGCGCACATTCTACTCTGCAGCCCTTTTCCCTATATCTCTAACATTTTCATTTCCTGTGCTTACAATTAAAGGGTGAAATTTTGTGCACGTCACAATATATCTGCAAGTTCACCTACTGCAGTTGCAGTGACTAATATATATGGGTAGAACCAATAGAAAATAATATTCTCCTAAAATGGCTGGTTAAGCAAAGGACAAACAAAATCTATTCGCAGCGCCATACTCTATCTCACTCATCTTGTGGATACACAACACAAGACTGATTGATGTTAACCGGGCGGTTTTCAGTGTCATTTACCTCATACCAACCAACAAATCTCAATTTCACCTTAACAGTTCGACTACTAAATATTGCTGAGGCTGGCTGGCTGGCTGGCTGGCCGTGTTGGGATCCATATTAACAAGCCTAATTTGTGCATCCAAAAGAAGAAGTTGGTTGGTTCAGACATTATCCTTACCCGCTTGACCATCTAGGTTTGAATGATCGATCCTGAATTTTTGTGGAATTTCCCTAATTTCAGTTGATATTCTATTCGTTATTATATCTTTATTATTATTATTATTTAAGCATCTTTAATGTACTGTGGTGATTCCATTGTGATCTTACTTTACAAATCGATATTACTATTTAAAAAGCACACTAATATTGTTATTGACTACTAATCTAGAATATTCTATGTATATAAACATGCATATATATAGATATAATTGTAGAGCGAGAAGAGGAGGAGGATTTATCGAAAAGGATATTCTTTTCTGGCTCAATCAATTTTGTGTTTTATAGATAGATGAGGGAATGAATATTTTTGCTACATTAAAATTGATGAGTGTTTCTCAGTTATTTTACATAACTTTAATTGAAGGTTATTCAAGGTGATGTAAGCACTTTGGATTTAACATATGCATCTTAAGCTCTCTCTGTGTGTGTGTGTGTGCTTGTGTATTTGCGTGGAAGATGGCAGACTTCAACTTTTGCCTGCCTGGAACCACTTGATCAGTTAAAAGACGACAAGTTATTAATATGGACTTTCATTTTATATAATTGAGCAACTGACAAACATTTTTTTTATTTTATCATTATGAACCATGTTGTAATTATTAGTTGCGGAGATTTCGTCGTCCCTCTCCCCCTCGTGTGGAAAACATCTCCCTTCAGCGCAATTTTAAATATAAAGTAAACTGATTTAAATATTTTTCCATGAGTGATAGATAGAATTGCGTCTCCCGGTAACCATCTTTACATATGTGTATTGATCATTTTTATTATTGACTTGGATTTTAAACTTTCTCGTCACATGATCTACCTTTTATTAGTTGGTATATTTGGTCTATATTAACGTGTTTGTTAATTGCATATTCGTTTGAGTACCACCAGGCTTCTAGGAATTCCCTGACTGCACTTTTGGTGGTGATTCCTCTGTCTAAAATTTCGATATTACCTCACTTATCAAACTGATGTCCATAATTATCTATATGCATTGATATGAAACAGGAATGTATATATCATGTCTTCTCACAGCCGATTTGTGTTCTTGGATTCTGATTCGACGCTCCGGGGACGCCCACTTCGACCACCGATGTAATGTCTGTTACAGTTCATACATGCAATTTATTTTGTAAATGGTATTAATTTTATCTCCTTTTTCTGTTGGATGTGTCTTTCGGTTTGCACAATATCGAATGAAGTGATTGGACTGGCTGGCTGGTTGGCTTGTGTGCTATATCTATCTATATCAAACGGTTTCAATATTCTAGCTGTTATTTCAGAGATATTTTCGCTTATATATGGTAGGATGAATTTCCTTGTGTTCTTTGATGATGATGGTTCCTTGTTGGTGTTGTCATTCGATTTTAAACACTTTTTGATGAAATTTTGTGGATAACCATTCTTTCCATTTTTTTCAACTCTAGAGTGCTACAATGTGTTTGAACTCTCTTTTAAAAAATGTCTGCACACAGTTTCGTTTGTTAGTGAGTAATTGGATTATTGCTAGTATAGTTGAGTATTTGATCTGTGTGTGTGTGTGCATTGATTTTCTATATACTTGTGTCTCTAAATCTCCTGTGTTGGTTCTCCTGATTAAGACATCTAAAAATGGGATTTTGTTATCTAATTCTTCTTCTCTCGTGGTGAATTTGATGTCTTCAAATATGTTGTTTATTAATTTATAAAATATTCGAAATCATATTTTTTTCAATTATTACAGTTGTATCATCAACGTAACGTACCTGTGCAGATTTTCGGTTTAATTATAGGTAGAGCTATTAATTCCAATCTTTGCATGACGGCTTCAGCTGTTGATTCTGATATGGGCGATGATCCCATTGGTGTTCCTTTTATCTCTTCATATATTTGAGTATTCAATTGAAAGTACATTGTATGATCAATACAACATATATAAAGATGGTTACCGCGAGACCCATGGAAAAAAATTTAAATCAGTTCACTTTATGTTAAAAATTTAGCTGAAGAGGGATGTTGGCCAGCAAGAGGGGAGGGAGGACGACAAAAGCTCCGCAACTAAACCAACCAGCTCCTCAGAGAACACTATTAATTGCAAATCTTGATGTGTAAAAAGCTCAACGTTTTAATCACTTCGGAAATACAGACACCAAATATAATCTATACAAATAACTAAAAATCCTCTGAAATAACAGCTAGAATATTGAAACCGTTTGATATAGATAGATATAGCACACAAGCCAACCAGCCAGCCAGTCCAATCACTTCATTCGATATTGTGCAAACCGAAAGACACATCCAACAGATAAAGGAGATAAAATTAATACCATTTACAAAATAATTTGCATGTATGAACTGTAACAGACATTACATCGGTGGTCGAAGTGGGCGTCCCCGGAGCGTCGAATCAGAATCCAAGAACACAAATCAGCTGTGAGAAGACATTATATATACATTCCTGTTTCATATCAATGCATATAGATAATTATGGACATCAGTTTGATAAGTGAGGTAATATCGAAATTTTAGACAGAGGAATCACCACCAAAAGTGCAGTCAGGGAATTCCTAGAAGCCTGGTGGTACTCAAACGAATATGCAATTAACAAACACGTTAATATAGACCAAATATACCAACTAATAAAAGTTAGATCATGTGACGAGAAAGTTTAAAATCCAAGTCAATAGAAACTGATCAATACACATATGTAAAGATGGTTACCGGGAGACGATCTCATGGAAAAAATTTAAATCATTTCACTTTATGTTAAAAAATTGCGTTGAAGGGGGATGTTGGCCAGCAAGGAGGTGGGGGGACTAGAAAAGCTCCGCAACTAAACCAGCCAGCTCCACCTACCTGAGCTACTACAAATCTTCTCTATTATGAACCACGTTGGTTGTAAAACTACCATAAAAAACTAGAAAATTATATCACCTCACAGTATTTATCTTCTTAATGCTATTATTATTTAAATATTTGGTAGCGAGTTGTTCATCGAATATATCACACACACACACACACTGCCGTTTCAAACTTCCGTATATCTCACTGACTGAATTACTCTGCCAGTCTGTGTAACTATCTGCTCCTTCCATACTTCAGTGGTAGTTGGTCATTTCGCTTGTTGTTTTCTTTGTTATTTAGACGACAGTGCCTTCATTGTCTTGGTCACCGCATAACTCCTTAACATTTGCTGCAGCCAACGAAAGCCTTCTAGAAATATGGAACTTGGATTATTCAACGTAAGTCTTTATATATATCTGAATATATATATTCATTATAATAGAGGTTTTTGTATTTCCCAATGAGTGAAAAACAAAACGATATTGTTGCTCTTACTGACGTTTCGCTATTCAATGATGCTGCTGCTGCTAATAGCTTTATCAAAGCAGTATTATTAAACCAGAAGAATTTACAAAATCCACTCAGCATATATATCTGTAACAAAGAGTTAAGAGGTGGGTGAGAAAATAGACTTGACTACTTAGGTCAAGTTAAAAGGAGGACATATTGAAGGTGAAAATAACAATGAAGATGAATGACTAAACCAAATAACAGAGGTAATAGTACATCTGTACTGACTGGTATCAAAACAAAGTTTACTAACTTGACCATCTTTCGTCAGTATGAGGTCATTTTTCGTTGTCAAATTGGCTAATTTGTAAAGATAGCAAAACCAAGTGTAGATTGTTGGATTTGATCAGTGTGTAAAATTATAAAAGCAGTGTGTGTACATAGTGTACATAGTGAACTTGCATATCACATTCGTGTTGATTTCGCCACTTCACGGGGGAGGGAGGTGTTGTAACCAGGTCAGATTCTGTTTTAGTCCACAATTCATTCCTATTCAGTTCAGACAATTTGGATTCCATCAGATGATATGAAGTGCTTCTGATGATACTAGACGTTCTTTGTGATTTCTGAAATGCTTTTTCTGGATGATGATTTCAATATTGTCAAAATCAATTTTGTGGCCTGATTCTGTAGCATGGTGTGTAGACCACCACCACTGGCTGATGATTTTTCAAGCTTTTCTAGTTCACTAACTGGTATTTCTCGGTGGTCGAACAGATGCTCTATGGTGTTCATTTCTTCTTATTTTGATTTCTCACTGGAGATGTTTGTCCGATGTATATCGCATCACACTCCAAGCATTTTGTTTTATAGACACAGTTAGTTAGGGAATCTTTAAGGATTTGGTCTTTTATGTGGACAAGGTTGTTTCGTAGTGTGTCTGTCTGATGTTTTGAAGAAAACTCTGATGTCGAGCTTATTGAGTACTCTTCTGATATCGTCTGACGTCTCTGCTCTATATGGAATGACGACAGCTGTTGAGGTCCATGTTTTCGGAATGCGTTTTAGGCCATACCTAATGTCAGTGTTGATTCTGTTGATGAAATTCGTTGGGTGGTTGTTTTGCTTGAGGGGAGTTTCAGTAATGTTTGATATTTCTTCTTCCACTTTTTCTTTCTCACCCGTTAACATCAGAGAGTGTGCTGGTCTAAGAAGACTCGAAACAACTGAAATCTTTGCGCTGATAGGGTGTGATGAACCGAAGTCTAAATATTTATTGGAGTGGGTTTTCTTCCTGAATACGGATATACTAAAGTGTCCGTTTTCCCTTCTCTTAACTAGCCAGGCAGTCTAGAAATGGTAGTTCACCAACGTCTGATTCTGCCTGATTTCGAAGTAAACTGGATTCTGGGAGATACACAGTTTATTTTCTCCAGGAATAAACTGTGTAGTCCTCGTTTTAGCACCACAAAAGTATGATCTACGTATACATACATAAACACAACGATAAACTGGGAGAAGAGGGCGAGAAAATCTTTTGGAAGACGGAAAATAAGCTGAATAGAGTAAACATTCGTTTGAGATCCACTGTAAGATGAGGAATGTATGTATCTCTGAAGTTATATTTCTAGTCTGACTAACCCGGCCTTTTTCTACCTGAAAGTAGCAGTTGCGAGGGGGGACAGCAAAGATCGGTAAGCCATTTCATTTGCTAATCGGTGGCTGCCAGTGATTTCTACCCTACTTGGCATTTATCAACTGGATAAAGCTGCATCCCATTGTGATATTGTCACCAATGAGACCTGGAACTAGAAACCACCATTGTGAAAGCCGAATCGCCGCCCCGCGCCCACTAAGCGACTGACTGAGTCACAATCTCATCCCTTATGCATTAGATATTAATGCTGCATGCCAATTAATCCACAACAGGAAACTTACGGAATCCCATGATGCCTGTAGCATACATAGATGGCACTGAAATCGAAACCAAGTCAAGCATCAAATACCTTGGATTAGTTCTTTCCTCTGTGACCTTTCATGGTCATCCCACATCTTATCATTCTCTAAAAAAATGTTTCGTCTACAACCCTCTACATTAAAAGAAGTTTAGACAATCAGGTATCAACCAACCTTTACTTCTGCAGTTTGTAAACTCCTGTATTTTACCTATTGTACTCTATTGCTCTCCATTAATCTTTCCTGGGCTTGTCAAAAAAAGACTATATCATTAAATTACGAAGGGTATTAAATGCTGTGAGTAGGGCTTGTGGTATGCCACTGCGTGAGCTCACCAATATGATAGTCGAGAGACATATAAAATCCTGTACAAAATGGGCGAAGGCTGTACTGTCAGACCACATGCAACCCGCCCCCCCCCCCGCTTTATTCACAACTATCCCCTTGCATCTCATCAGGTAGGACGAGAAGTCAATAATGTAGGAAGTTATATGCTTGAACCACTAAGTACAAAAATTCTACAATACCCTATTTAGCCCGTATTTTATGTGATGGAGACACTGTTAGACGTGAAATATATAAGAAGTTACTATGTAATTAGTAAAGTGAATCGACCCTTTCATCGTTCGTTCATCTTTCTGTAATTTTATGTTGTCACTCTATTTATCGTTTAATTATAACTTAGCTATTTTGTATTTTTAGTTGTTATTACTATTATTACTACAATTTTATACTTTGTGCATATTTTCTTCTTTATCGAATACTGTATTTTGCTACATAGCTGCTACAACAACGTTTTGTTATTATTGTTATTATGTAATGTTTTTATTTATGTTTTTTTGTCGTTTTGAGTAAATTAGATGCAATATTGTACTGAATGCTGAAAACTCCGTGCTGTATCATTAGTACTGTTTTTGAAATAAAGCAAAAATTATTATTATTATCACACCTTCATACAATTCACCGATACAATACATAGATTTAAACAAAGAGGGAACCAGTTCAAACTTTTTAGGACAAATCTCCCTCTCATAATTACAAATAGGCCGTATTGATGAATCCCAGTGAGCCTAAAAATCTAAGTAATATAGGGCTGGTTCCTGACATTCATTGTTGTTGTGTTTGTTTGTGTTTTTTTTTAAAAACTTTATGCAATTCTCTTCTCTAACGCAATAGGGTGCTCATGAGTGTTATAAGATTTGATAGTGTGGAAAATTCCCATGAACTGGCAACGGTGGAGAAAAAGCCTATGTTTTTACGTCTCCAATTCAAGGGAGATACTCCTGCGGAGATTCTATCGCAACGTTTAACCAGGGCGATCAAGAAAACTTTCTACTCTGCATGTCTGTGTATATCCTTCAGTAGCCGTTCAATGTTCATCCAGAAACTCAAAGATGTCTTACCTAATCTTAGCTCTTCTTCATGCATATACCATTTCAACTGTTCCTGTGGTTCAAGTTATATAGGGCGCATGATTAGGCAGGTTTGTCTACGGGTTAGAGAACATTTACCACCTTGGTTCAGCATGGAGGGAGGGGGGAAATTAAGTGCATAAAAAGCTCGATCCTGTCACACTTGTTTGATACTGGACACCATATGGATGTCAACACAGCTTTCAGGGTTATATACCGAATTCCGAAGTCGTTATCACGTACATTTCGCTTACGTCTTCTACACATAGCTGAAGCTGTTGCAATAAGATCGACTAAACCGGAACTTTGTATCCAAAAAGAACACGTCCAGACGCTGTTCCTACCGTGACCAAACTTGGATTGATTCTTCTTCTTCTCACCAAGAGTGCTCCTTCCCCTTAACCCTCTTGGCTTTTTTTTGTTCCTTTGCTTATTATTACAGATATTATTATCACAGTTATTATTATTCGTCATAATTTATGCCCTTCATGCAAACATTCTCTCAATACTATCGAATTTTTTGTTCATACTATCCGGACTTATTATTAGTGATATTATCTCTTTTCTCAATATATGCCTCCACCTGTTTCATTTCACATATTCGTTATCTCATTATGAACCTCTCATTGCAGTCTTACTACTTCCTGTTTAACACAGACCACTTTGTACTAGCCACTCACCTGACACCTTTTATAACATAAAACTGACTTGTCAATTTTCCTACCCCACACTCTATAAATCTATCATGACTAATCACTATTGTCTCCTGTTTTACAATATTTTGTAATCAAATTCAGCCTAGCACGTTTGTCACACAAATACGACTATTTGTTTGACACCCCATAACTAATCTGTTATTCTACGTTAAAAATGTACCTGCCGCATAACTGGCCTTTATTGTAACGACAACAAATATTATATTTTATAATTGTAAGAACCTGAATACGAGAAATTATTGAAAAGAATATTCTTCGTTCAGATTGACTTTTAATTCTCTTCTCATTAATAAACTTGAACAAAGCAAGAACAACAATTAAACCAGCAGAAAATATGAGCTCATCTTTCCTGCATTATTTGCAGCTTTCATTCAAAGGTGATGATGATACTTCTAGTGGAATAAGATGCAGACTGAACGCTGCGCTGAAAAGAACATATCCAGCTGCCAAGCTTGTATGTGTTTATCAAACAACTAGTAGTTGTTTGAGACAATCAAAGGAGGACAAATCCCCGCCTCATGCTACCCCCAACGGTGTCTACCAATTCACATGTACGTGCCAGAGCACATACATTAGAAGAACACAGAGAAGGCTTATTGTCCGCATTTCTGAACACATTCCAAAGAACCTGAGACTGAAAGGTCCACAAGCATTAAACAGTGCGATTGTGTGTCATCTATTCGACACACTCTTCATATTGTAGACAACCTGAAGTCGTTCAAAATAATCAACAAGCAAAAGAAACCTAGCTTGCTACGCTTTGCTGAAGCAATTGCTATCAAACGACTTAAACGAAATCTATGTGTACGCAGAAAGAGACAGTGGTGAATCTTGCACTGTCCTGGTGATAACAAAAAATATATACAACTTTTATCAGTCACCCTTTTTCTTGTTTAGAAAACTCTACTCTCTCATCTAAACACGACTCACCCTATTGACTATTAGATAAAACATTTTCTTTAGTTACGTAATCTACTTTTTTGTTCAACAGTCCGCTCCGTCCTCCTTTATGGCTGTGAGACCTGGCCATTGAGAGCCGAAGACATGAAAAGATTAGCTGTCTTCGATCATAGGTGTCTGCATTCTATCTCCCGAGTGAAGTGGTATGATAAGGTGAGCAATATTGAGTTTAGGCATCAGTCGAATGCTAGGTAAGTAGGAGGGGAAGTCAATCGACGAAACTGTGAAATTACATCGACTGAGATGGTTAGGACATGTGTTACATATGCCTAGTCGTCGCCTTCCTCGACAATGGGCAATGTTAGCTGATATAGGGCCAGGCTGGAAAAGAGCTAGCACATGGTGTTCAAACCAAAACATGGCAGCAGTCAATGAAATTCACAACAGTTAGTCTAAGCCACGTAGGTAGGTGTAGACTTCCTGACTGGTTGAGGTACTCGGGACGGTGAAGACCAATGGTTGGAAACAATTGGTGATGATATGGCTCAAAATCGTTCTCAGTGGCGCAGATGCATCCACTCCTTGTGACTCATGATTTCCAATGAAACTATATTGTTCTTCGTTATTACTATACCTTTGTCTCACACTTCTGTTTACTGTCTATATTATGCATTTCTCCTACTTTCTTCTCTTGCTTTGTGTGCTACATGGAGGGAGTGTGGCGACTTGAACTGCCGCACATATGTGCAAAGTTCTATGTCGAAAACCGACCGACCGATCGACCGACTTTTTTGTTAAGCTCTTTCTAGCTAAACCTTTTTTCTATATATATATATATATATATATATATATATATACGCAACTCTGTTTTTTTGTTTCCAAGACTAATTGTCTAATTATTCTATAAATAGTCACTGTATCTGTAACTCTTAATTAGTTAAATCACTCCAGACTAATGTTACTTTTACACTTCCTACCAACCAATTACTCCTTGTTATCGTGGAAAAGTATGTTGAAATTTTCACAATGTAATTAATACGTGTTGTTTTTATCGTTCAGGTTGTAACCAGTTGAGAAGAATCCTCGAAATAATAATAAAAAAAAAGAAATGAGCTCATATTATCTTCTGGTACAATTGTTTTTTTTCTTGCTTTGTTCAAGTTTTGTTTTTTTTAACTTAATTTCTCAGCTATACTAGAAACACGACTGGTAGATAGCTCTATACTGTTAGTTATAATCATTGAAACTGAAAGCTCGCTCAAGTGTATTTTTGTATTGTTTTTTTCCAAGCATGGTTTGTTCACGCAGCTTATTCACCAGTTAACATTTCTTATTCTAAAACTTCATGCAATCCTTCCCATTAATAAACTTGAATAAAGCAAGAACAACAATTGTACTATATGATAATATGAGCTCATCTTTTATTATTATTTCGAGGATTCTTCTCAACTGGTTACAACCTGAACGATGTAAAATGTGAATTACATTACATTAGTGATTTGAACATAATTTTCCACTTTCACAAGGAGTAATTGGTAGGAAGTAAAAGTATCATTAGTCCGGAATGATTCAACTAGTTAAGAGTTACAAACACTGACTATTTATAGAATAATTCAAATGAACTGTGATCAATATTTGACAGTTTATAAATATTTATAGAATAATTAGGCAATTAGGCTTGGAAACAAAAACAAGCTGTTGGATATTTTTTGTTATCACCAGGACAGTGCAAGATTCACCACTGTCTCTTTCTGCGTACACATAGATTTGGTTTAAGTTGTTTGATAGCAATTGCTTCATCAAAGCGTAGCAAGCTAGGTTTCTTTTGCTTGTTGATTATTTTGAACGAATTCAGGTTGTCTACAATATGAAGAGTGTGTCGAATAGATGACACACAATCGCACTGTTTAATGCTTGTGGACCTTTCAGTCTCAGGTTCTTTGGAATGTGTTCAGAAATGCGGACAATAAGCCTTCTCTGTGTTCTTCTAATGTATGTGCTCTGGCACGTACATGTGAATTGGTAGACACAATTAGAGGAAACATGAAATTGGTATTTGATTGTCTCAAACAACTAATTGTTTGATAAACACATACAAGCTTGACAGATGGATGTGTTACTTTCAGGTCAGCGCTCAGTTTGCATCTTATTCCACTAGCAGTATCATCATCACCTTTGAATGAAAGCTGCAGAAAGATAGGCTTTCTCTCTACTGTGCTGATTTTCACTTTTTCAACATGACGTCTCCCATACTTGTCAATGAACTTTTGTTCTGTTTTTTTTTAGTGTTGATCCTTATGTTACAGAAACAATATCGAATGATACAAATATGACAAGTGTACTATTTTCTGAAACGAGTCAAGTGAGTACTACTGTGGTTAATTTTTTTATTATTATTATTTCTTTTTGATTTTGATTACAGCTTGATTCCACACCGTATTTTTTGGTACAGGCATGGAATTTTCAGCATGTAATATCGGTAGCCCAAAATTTGCAGGCCCAGCGTAGATATCGGGTGTGCGTCTGCAGGAGATCGAACACCGGACCATGTACATGGTCGGCGAGAGTCATAACCGCTGTGCTACCGACGCTACACATAACGTTACATAACTTTAAAATGTTATTCTGTTTAACATATGCATATATATATTTCATCATTATCATCATCAGGCTCTACAGTTATATATCCATCCATTATAGTGAATGAAGGAATGAATGAATGAATTAGTGTTATGAACAACAACATTAATGTTGCTGTTTAAATAACATCGAATCAATAATAATAATAATGATACCAATGGATTACAGTTCAATAGCATCAACATAACAATACACACTGTATGTCAGACAGGGAAATTAGGAAAGATAATATTACAAATTCATGAATTTATAGTCTCCACTCACTGAAGGCCGGTCAGGGCAGTAGTAGTGGCTACCTGGCAGGACTTGCTTCTTCTCTTAAACACAGAGCACTGGTTGTTTGAGGCGAATTGCAATAGCCTTTGTTGTTTGGAGCACTTAGTGCTTCGATGATGATTTTGGGAATTTATTAGGCACATGGTAGATGATGATAGAGAAGGATTCTTCCACGCTGGCCGGCTGGCCGGTTTGCACCAGATGGTGCAATATCGAACTGTTGATGATGGTTTTCACTACACACTTTACTTAGCCATAGTGGGAGATGTTCTCGAGTGAGCGAGCACGAAAAATCAAGTTCATAGAGCAACAACGGTCGATATAACTCGCTCCACAAACACAGTTGCATTTGAATTGGTAGACACAATTTGAAGTGGCCAGCTAGTCTAGGTACTTCCTCTTTCAGTCGAGGAATCACCATCGGTCGTGTAGAGAATAAGACGTGTTGTTCGCCGCCAGTACTAAACGTACTTTCAACTCATTTTCTTAATTTCCTCACTTGGTATATCCATCACCCTTGAATTGCAGTCTTATACAAAGTGGTTTCTTGTTTACAGATAGTAAGTAGTCCTTTTCCGCTTTCTCTGTGATGTGTATCTTGATAAATTTGTCAGGATAGCTTTTTTCGACCAATCAAGGTATCATATACAATGCCTAATTCAGCTTCAATTACTTAATTATATATGTATATATACATATGCAGCTGATGAATCCCAACTTATGCAAATACATTGATAATATTTTGCTGGACTGACTGCAACTATATATTTATACAGTGTGAAAGCTGTCAATGATTACTGGATTTCTTTAGTCTTACTTTATTGAACGATTATTCTACTTCGTATTATGATTGTGTATGTCTGCAACACTCAACACACACATACATACACATACACACACATATACACACAGTGTACGCAAATGCATCAGCATCCTGTGAAACTTGAACGATTATGTTCTGCTTTTTAGTCTTGTTTAGACATTTCCAGTAGTAATTAGTCACACTGTTCACATTTACTTACTTATTTTTCCTTTAATGTTATGAGGCTAATAAAAATGAACAAAAAAACAAAAACATCACTAGTTACTAAGGCAATCACGAGGTTAAATGTGAAACTTGAGTGTTTCTTAGATTAGTGGAAAAAATGAAAACATGAAAAATGTCTAAAAACCTACCTACTTTAAGGGAATGAGAGAGAGAGAGAGGTTAAAGAATTTCTCTCTAATATATTTAATGACCATCTACACACACACACACACACACACACACGCTCTCTGTGTCTATTAGGAAGGAAAGATTGAAAATTTTTTATATTTGAACAAAATGTATGCATTGCTATACATGCCTACATATACTAGCTAGCTAGTCAATAAATGGCAAATATGGGAGTATTGGACAGCTGTTTCATCCCAGTGCTTGGGACTGACTGACAGGGTTCGAACCCAGGACCACGTTCTGGTTACAAGGCCAGCGAGCTAGCTCGTAGACCATTCATCAGCCACTGGGACCCGATCCAATGACCAGTCAGCCAGTGCATGAATTCTAACTTCTGCCAGCCAATTCATGCACGACATAGCGCTCATGATGAAATCCTGTAACCAATCAACCAAATCCCTAACAGAAACCAACACTTGAATATCGATGAGATGCTCACTAGCGACTTGCCCTATTCAGGTAGGTAGTAGTTACCTGGGTGGGTTCTAGTGAGAAGCCGTGACCAGTAGTAGGGTGCAGCAGGTTGGGTGTGAGGACAAACACTCGCCAGCGATGACATTGGCTAGTGCCAGTCGCGCTATGTCGTGCGTGAATTTGGCAGAAGTTAGAATTCATGCACCGGCCACTGGATCAAGTCTCAGTGGCTTAATGATATACGAGCTAGCTCGCCTTGTAACCAGAAGGTCCTGGTTTCGAACATTGGTGGTGAGTGCGTACTGCTGAACAGCCAGTCCCCACCTAGGATGGGACAGTTGTCCAGTACTCCCTGGCTGGTTTTCCAATGGTTCTCTAACCAATGTCAGCCTATGATGAAATCCCGTAACCAATCAATCAAATCCCCCTACAAACCAACACTTAAATGGTAAATAACTGATTTTGCCTCCATTAACACATAGATACCTGGTTAACACACTATCAATTAACAAAGACAATTCAACCCCATGTTCTAAATGAGAAATGACATTGAAATCTCGAATTCAAATGTGACATTGAAGCAGAAATCCTTCGTAAACTCCTGTGCAAATCTCTGAGGAAAATAAATACTTCGCCGAGCGCCCGATAACCGACGTTTACCTGCAAGAAACTAACTGTTCAGCCAGAACGCGAAAGACAAGCTGTCCCATTGGGCCACTTCTACGTGCATTTACCAGTTCATTTTCTGTTGCTACTGCGGAGCTGCTGAGTACATCGGCCGTACCATGCACCAACTTACTTGAAAAACGCACTCGTGAACACTATTCAGCCTGGCTAGTAAAAGGAGAACGAAAACGTGTATATAATTCAGTGAAAGGACAGCTAGTCAATTCAGGACATTCAGCGCCATTCGAAAAGTCCTTCAAAATAATAATAAACAAGATTCGATCAAACCTATCATAGGGACTGAAATTAAGACATCTGGGCATAGCTGAGGCATTAGCCATCCAAAAGCTCAAACACACACTATGTATCCTAAAGAAATACGTTCAACCCTTTTCCCTGCCGTGGCCCGGCGGTCCGAATAGAACATAGAGTCTATATACTTTGGAATTTCGATAGTGCCCAACCCCACTCCATTCTCGTCTCTTCTACGAACACTAAAGGCAAGGTGAGGTTAAGGGTTGTATCGATGGAGAACAGAACACTCACCTGCTGCGTGGCTGGCAATCGTTCTTCCATAATATCGTCGATTCTGTTTAGTAAATGTGTTAAATAAAAGAAACAGCAAAATAATTTCAAAAGAAATGATACTGAACAAAGAATTAATACTCTTTTCGATAACCCCTTCATCATCATCAGGGTCTATAGTTACATATCCATCCATTATAGTGAATGAAGGAATGAATGAATGAATTAGTGTTATGAACAACAACATTAATGTTGCTGTTTAAAAAACATCGAATCAATAATAATAATTATTATACCAATGGATTACAGCTCAATAGCATCAACATAACAATACACACTGAATGTCAGTTGATTTAGGAAAGATAATATTACAAATTCATGAATTTATAGTCTCCACTCACTGAAGGCCGGTCAGGGCAGTAGTAGTGGCTAGCTGGCTAGCTGGACTTGCTTCTTCTCCACACACACAGAGCACTCACTGGTTGTTTGAGGCGAATTGCAATAGCATCTGGTGTTTGGAGCATTCGGTGCTTCGATGATGATGATTTTGTCAATTTATTAGGCACCCGGTAGATGATTGTGGAGAAGGATTCTTCGAGGCTGGCTGGCCGACTGTCTTTGTGGCCGGTTTGCACCAGATGGTCGAATATCGAACTGTTGATGATGGGTTTCACTACACAACTTTACTTAGCCATAGTGAGACATGTTCTCAAATGAGCACGAAGAATCAAGTTCCTAGAACAACAACAGCCGATATAACTTGCTCCACAAACACAGTTGCATTTGAATTGGTAGATACAATTTGAAGTGGCCAGCTAGTCTAGGTACTTCATCTTTCAGTCGAGGAATCACCATCGGTTGTGTAGAGAATAAGACGTGTAGTTCGCCAGCATTTAAAGTCCTTTTAACTGATTTTCCTAATTTCTTCGTAATTATCTCACTTGGTATATCACCCTTGAATTCCAGTTGTATATAAGGAGGCTTCTTCTCAATACTATCGAATTTTCCATTCATACTATCCGGACTTATTATTAGTAAGTGACATTACCTCTTTTCCCAATACATAACTCCACATGTTTCTTCATTTCACACATTCCTTATTTCATTATGAACAACCTCTCTTCGCAGTCTTACTATCTCCTGTTTAATACAAACCACTCACTCACGTGACACCTTTTAAAACCTTGAACTGACTTACATTTCAATTTTCCTACCCCACACTCTACAAATCTATTATGACAACTAATCACCAACACCACCATTGTCTCCTATTTCACCGAAATATTTTGTAATCGATTTCAGCCTACTAGCACGACGTTTGTCACACTCAAATACGACTATTTATTCTGACACGCCATAGCTGCTAATCTGTTATTCTACGTCAAAAATGTGTCCACCGCATAACTAACTGGCCATCATTATTGTAAGGACAACAGTAAATATTGCATATTTTATAATTGCAAGAACCTGAATAGGAGATTTTATTGAAGGGAATAAGTGGTTTCGTTAGAAGTGTCTATAAATCGTACCATCGTTCTGTAGCATAATTGTCCTCACAATTATAAAAAAAATACACCTGACAGGGAATTGAGGCTAGTCGGAAAAAAGGGAATATAAGTATCCCG